AGTGCATGTTTGACCACTAAAAACGTAGTGCTGGCAAATTGGGGAAAACTAAAAAGTGAAATATGGTTACCGCTCCAGAGTTCTGTTTTAGCCTAAGACTGAACTTCGTCCTCAGCTGGGTTTCCCGCTAACCTGGACATCGCTGAAGTAAAATTTTGTATGTATTTGCATTTTTCTCATGAGCGAGCCTTTGACTTTCACCAAAGAGATGTAAGACTTTTGTATAAGGGCAAATAAAAACTGCTGGAAGACGAATAGTTCCTGGCCGACAAGCCAGTCAGTTGCATTTTGAACATCCGGCCCATCTTCCTATCCTCTTTTTTTTTTTTAAAAAAAAACCATTTCCAAACCCTGTTGCTTTTCTTGAACAATGAAAACCCGAGTGTCAGTTCTGTCTTGTGTGTAGGTAGTTTTACATCTTTTCTCTCCTTTTTTTTTTTTTTCCTGCTTGTTTTCTCCATAATGAATATAAAACATTTCTAGGAGAGGTAGTGAAATAAAGTCAATTTCTCTCTGGGTAATGATAATAACTGCTCATCTTCCCTGAGGGAAGGGCATGTTTATAATCACGTTGTTGGCTCTAGGACAGTGGCTGGTGACACGTTTCTAGGCCAGGCAGAGATCCCAGTGGAACCAAAATTCAAGAAGAAAGATTCTTTTATAGAGAGAGCCTGTTTAACATAGATTTGGTTTTAAAGTCAACATTTAATATCAGATTGATAATGTGTTTTGCTTTGTCTCTTCCACTTCCTACCCCCAACCAGTCATTATATTTTGGAGAGAACAGATTACGAAGTACACAGGCTGCTACCCAAGTTGTTCTGAATGTTCCTGAAACAAGAGTAACATGTTTAGAAAGCGGACTCAGAGTGGCTTCGGAAGACTCTGGGCTCTCAACATGCACAGTAAGTGACTCAGGCAACCTTCTCTAAGTGACCCTTCATTTAGTGTAGCAAATTGTTGATTTTAGTCTTTAGTTTCTTTGTTGGCTGGTGGTTCAAAAAGGGTGGCAGTTATTTTGCCTTGACAGATTTCCATGAGTTGTGAACCTTTTGTTCCAGTGATATTTAGTTACAGGGTGCATATGGATCCTGTTGCCGTGTCTGCATCTTGTTCTTGTAGCTCATTATTGATTATTTATTGTTAGTAGTATTGATAATAATGAAAGAGGTGTATTTGCAGGGCTACTCTGCCAGGTATTTTTACTGATGTCTTATTTGCTAAAAAGCAATTCTTTGTAGTGGGCGTCCTCACACCTGTTTTATAGTTAAGGAAGTGAGAGAAGTTAAATGGTTTTGTTCAGGTCACTTAGCTAATACGTGACAGAGCCAGGATTTCAACCAAAGTTTTCTGACAGTTTCTGATGTTCTTGATACTACGGTTATTAATTGGCTGGGTTAATGAGTTGGGCAAAGAATCCTCAGTGAAGGTGGCAGGTAGATACTTGTAGCACCCAGCAGTATCCTGATCAAAATTTTTAAATCTCGTGGTTCATAGGAGTGAACTATTAATTCACTCAGATCAAGAAAATCTTAGTGTTAAGACCAGAAAGCACTTGTCAGAAAAAGGAAGGAGACTGTTCCCCGCAACCTCAAATAAATAAAATGGATTTATTTAATTGTTCGTTGATTGCATTAAGGTTGGACTCTGGATTGATGCTGGAAGTAGATATGAAAATGAGAAGAATAATGGAACAGCACACTTTCTGGAGCATATGGCTTTCAAGGCAAGTTGTAAAACTTTACAAAAATGCACTCTCTTTAAGAGATAGTAAGCACTAAGTCTCATTCTTTAGAGGCAGGGAGAGCTCTTTCAGTAGTATAACATGTTTTCTGTTTTTTTTTTCCAGGACAGTATCTAAAATAAGTACTGATGATTGCTTTGTAAAGTTGAAATGAAAACTTTCTCTTGGGATGCAGGAGTCATCTGAATGTATACCATTTCTGAAGCCTGATGTACCTTATTTTTTTTAAATTTAATTTATTTTGAGATAGGATCTGGCTCTGTTGCCTAGGTTGGAGTGCAGTGACACAATCTGCTTACTGCAACCTCCACCTCCTAGGCTCAAGTCATCCTCCCACATCTGCTTCTGGAGTAGCTGGGACTGTAGGTGCATGCCACCACACCCGGATAATTTATTTTTATATGTATGTGTGTGTGTATATATATATATGTATTTTATTTTATTTTATTTTTTGGTGGAGATGGAGTTTCGCCATGTGTTGGCCAGGTTGGTCTTAATCTCCTGGGCTCAGTCAGCCTGCCTCAGCTTCCCAAAGTGCTGGGGTGACAGGTGTGAGCCATTGTGCCCTACCTGATGTACTTTAGAAACCAAATTTGACTCTGCGTGAAACTAACTTATTGTCCTCCGTATTCATTATCTGAAGTGTTTAGAATAGATGAAGGATAAAGGGAGGCTGCATAATTTATTTTTCCTCTTTTATTTCAAGGGCACCAAAAAGAGATCCCAGTTAGATCTGGAACTTGAGATTGAAAATATGGGTGCTCATCTCAATGCCTATACCTCCAGAGAGCAGACTGTATACTATGCCAAAGCTTTCTCTAAAGACTTGCCAAGAGGTATTGTTATTATTTATACAGTAGATAATATAATTTTCATGAGAATCAGAAATTATTTAGTACTTTTTATTATATCTGTTGTAAAAGAGTAAGTCCCAGAAATGTGAAAAAACGAAACTGAATTCTGGGTGAGGGTACAGCTGATCTTATTTTTTTTCTAAATATGACAGATAGTAAGATTATGGATGATTGTTTTTATTAATATGTAGCAATAAAATAGAGATTATTTGGTGGAAATAAAATATTTTGAGAGGACAGCAGTTTGTTACCATATTTGTAGACTGTTTTGACTCTTTTAAAAGTTATTACACAAAACATTTTCCTAGTAGAAGAAATAACAAAATTTAGCAGTTTTAGAGCTAATTGGTAAAATTATTATTTTTGTTTTTAGAGAGAGAGTCTCGCTCTGTCACCCAGGCTGGAGTGTAGTGGTGTGATCTGGGCTCACTGCAACCTCTGCCTCCTGGGTTCTGGGTTCAAGTGATTCTCCTGCCTCAGCCTCCTGAGTAGCTGGGATTATAGGCTCCTGCCACCATGGCCGGCTAGTTTTTGTATTTTCAGTAGAGATGGGTTTTGCCATGTTGGCCAGGCTGGTCTTAAACTCCTGACCTCAAGTGACCCAGCGCCTCGGCCTCCCAAAGTGCTGGGATTATAGGCGTGAGCCACTGTGCACGGCCATTAGTGAAATTATTAACCTTTAAGGTCCTTCTGTAGTTGTAGTTACTACTTTGCAGTTTTGGATTCCTAATAGGCTTCCATTAATAATGTTTAAATGGCACTTTACACAAGTACTTTTGTGTATATATTATCCATTTGATCTGCATAGGTGTTTCTACCTTGCAGTTGTGGAAACCGAAACCCAGACTCTGACTTGCCCAAGATTGCACAGCTATCAGGTGGCTTACTGTGGACTCAAGTACATGTCTTCTTACCAGATTCATTTGCTTTGTCAAAACAATAAAATAAGAAACCTATCACCTGTAAATAACTAAAATACTTAATATGATATCCTAACTTTTGCATTAAAACAAAAATGACAGCAACTATGGAGGGTGTGTTGGTTTGAATAACAAAACCAATGAGACAATTTTTGTCCCAGGACTAATTAGGGACCAAGAACATAGGGCTAGGCCAAACTTCTTTAAAGAGTTGTTCATTCCAGCCTAGTTCCTTCCTTTATTTACACAGAACAGGGAAGGCAAAAAGGAGAAACAGAAAAAGTAAGGGTGAAGTTAAAAGACTTTCTTCCCTTTTCTCTTGGCATCTAGCTGGGAAGGGTAGAGCCTCTCCTAGTGGGAGTGGAGAAGCAGAGGGGCTCTCCCTGAGGAATACAAAATGGAAGTGCTCTCTGAAGCAGCTCCAACTTTGGGGATTTACTTGGGGTTTTTATGCCCTCACCCTGGGTAAAGCAGCTCCAACTTTGGGGATTTACTTGAGGTTTTTCACCCTTCACCCTGGGTGAAGCCTGGTGTATGAGGTAATAGACATTTAGATAATGGTCTCCAGGTTTTTATGATCACTTATTTTTTTAAATTATTATTATACTTTAAGTTCTAGGGTACATGTGCACACGTGCAAGTTTGTTACATATGTATACATGTGCCATGTTGGTGTGCTGTACCCGTTAACTCATCATTTACATTAGGTATATCTCCTAATGCTATCCCTCCCTGCTCCCACCATCCTACGACAGGCCTGGTGTGTGATGTTCCCACCCTGTATCCAAGTGTTCTCATTGTTCAGTTCCCACCTATGAGTGAGAACATGGGGTGTTTGGTTTTCTGTCCTTGCAATAGTTTGCTCAGAATGATGGTTTCCAGCTTCATCCATGTCCCTACAAATGACATGAACTCATCCTTTTTTATGGCTGCATAGTATTCCATGGTGTATATGTGCCACATTTTCTTAATCCAGTCTGTCATTGATGGACATTTGGGTTGGTTCCAAGTCTTTGCTATTGTGAATAGTGCCGCAATAAACATACGTGTGCATGATGATCACTTATTGTTAAGAAAGTTGATCATATATCCTTGATGTATGTATACTTGTAAGTTAAATACATGTGCTATTATACTAACGTATCTATACATTAAAAAAAAAAGATTCAGATTAAAACAGACTGGGAAATAGGAGCCCCCCTCCCCGCCTTTGGAAACTACCGGTGTAGACCACCCATCCCACATAACGGAGGATTTTCTCACAGAATTCTTGTCCTTCCATTTGTCTATGGGCTCTTTCTCACCCATTTTACTAGACTCTGGTTCTCTCATCTGGACAGATGGGTTTTATTTGGTTTTACACATAATTCTTTCCTTTTGGTCATGATCTCAGCCACAGCTTGCTATAATAGTCTGTTTTGTCATGTTCTTAGTATTTGGACATAATCACTTCTGAGACAGTGCCCCTTAAAGTGAACTGAATTAAAACAAGGAACAAAAGTTTATAGTAGAGTAAGAAATGAAACCTAAATCGGACACGGTAGTGCATGCCTTTAGTCCTGGCTACTTGGAGGAAGCTGAGGCAGGAGGATTGTTTGAGCTCAGGAATTTGAGTCCAGTCTGGGCAGCATAATGAGACCTTGTCTCTTAGGGGAAAAAAAGAAACTTAAGATTGTAAGTTTATTTAATAACATTAATTGTATTAATGAAATTTACATTTATGATTGCAACTATGTACTAATACTTCAAGAATGAAGTACAGTTTTTTTTTGGAGAGGTATGCACTTTTTCTGATAAAATTGCTTAATGGCCTAATATGACATATTCCACTTCACTTTTCGCTTTTTGCAAATTCGGGTTTGAGAACACACAATTCTGTGATTCATTTGGGGCATATTTTAGATTATAAGGATTCTTTTCTCTGTTGCCCAGGCGGGAGTGCAGTGGCGCAATCGCAGCTCACTGCACCCTTTGCCTCCCGAGCTCAAGCCATCCTCCCATCTCAGCCTTCCGGGTAGCAGGGACTACAGGCACATGCCACCACGCCCAGCTAATTTTTGTATTTTTTGTAGAGACATGCCAAAGCATGTTGCCCAGGTTCGTCTCGAACTCCTGGGCTGAAGCCCATCTTAGCCTCCCAAAGTGCTGGGATTATATAGGCGTTAGCCACCGTGCCTGGTCAGTTCTTTGCTTCTTAACATAGCACTCTCATTGCTGTGGGAACTTGCATAGTAAATACTTGGGTGATGTGAACCCTCAGTATATTCCTAGCTAGGTATTTTCAGACTAATATATATAACTTTGTAATTTTCATATAGAACAGTCTATATTAATATGCAAATTTCCATAGCATTTTTGAAGTAGGTAGAGTCATTTCAAGGTGATGGCAAATTTATAGTTTTTCCCCAAGGAAAATCTTTTGTACTATAGGGGTTTATATGTTAAATTTTAATTTTGTCCTGTTAAGTATATCTGATGTTTTTCTCCCAGGCTAATCATTTAGTATTGAGTGATGGGTCAGTGTCATGATTTCTGATTTTGGTTTAATAGATTTTAATAGTGAAAGTTAAGATTGCTGGTGCTTTTTCTTATATTTTATTTTCAATTAGCTGTAGAAATTCTTGCTGATATAATACAAAACAGCACATTGGGAGAAGCAGAGATTGAACGTGAGCGTGGAGTAATCCTTAGAGAGATGCAGGAAGTTGAAACCAATTTACAAGAAGTTGTTTTTGATTATCTTCATGCCACAGCTTATCAAAATACTGCACTTGGACGGACAATTTTGGGACCAACAGAAAATATCAAGTAGGTATAACTCTCAGAATTTCTTGGTGGGTAAGGGAATTTATGAATTTTGAAAATTAACATTTACAAACTTTCAAAAAGTATGTTTCAAAAAGTCATTTTCCTCCTGGTAATCTAAGTGAAATTGTAGTTAGCTACATTTTGGTCCCACCTAGCTCCCAAGCATGTGAGTTCATAGGTACTTCGGAGTAAACCAGTAATGGTGTCAAATCTTTTTTCCTTGATGTAAAAAAGTCGAAGTTCTTTGATGTGTTGTCTATATCCTATTTCTGCCTGCATTTTAGGATACGGTTATGGTCCAGTTTGATTTCAGGTATATTATGTGAAGATCTTTTTTTTTTTTTTTTTGGTTTCCTTTAAAAATGGTTTTACTTCATTTACAGATCTATAAGTCGTAAGGACTTAGTGGATTATATAACCACACATTATAAGGGACCAAGAATAGTGCTTGCTGCTGCTGGAGGTTAGTCAATTTCAATTTCTACAAATGTTTTAAACACAGTTGTTGGAGTGGTATACTTATTAGTTTGATCCTGTTGGGAGATAGCCTAAGAATTTTCATTTACATAGCAAGTAACTGTATTTGATACTGTGTAAGGGGAATGTGGAGCACTGGAACCAGACTTTCTCTCTATTTTTTTTTAAAGTAGGTTTCATTTAGGCTGGGCGTGGTGGCTGATTCCTGCAACCCCAGCACTTTGGGAGGCCAAGGCGGGCGGATCACGAGGTCAGGAGTTCAAGACCAGCCTGACTAATATGGTGAAACCCTGTCTATACTAAAAATAGAAAAATTAGCTGGGTATGGTGGCTGGTGCCTGTAGTCCCAGCTACTCAGGAGGCTGAGGTAGGAGAATCACTTGAACCCGGGAGGCGGAGGTTACAGTGAGCCAAGATCACACCACTGCACTCCAGCCTGGGTGACAGAGTAAGACTGTCTCAAAAAAAAAAAAAAATGTAGGTTTTATTTCTAGAAAGACTTAATGAACTGTTTAATACATAAGTGTACATAGTAGAATGTGCAAGAAAAGGGCAAAGGAGTGAACTGGGAGAGAGTCGGAAGTTAGCATTCTGTACTTTGAGAATTTCTTGAGATTTTAAATTATTTCTTGAGAACCAACTTCGTCCTTGTTCAAGCATGGAATGGGTATGTTAATTCTTTGATTTGTTCAATTATTCATTTAATAGATCTAATTTTTGGGAAGGAGAAGCACATAGGGAGCCATGAGAATGCTGAATAGGAATCCAAACATGCAGGTGACTTTAGAAGGTTTCCTTGAGGTCATGTTTGAAGCCAATGAATGAAAAAAAAAAATTCACAGCAGATATTGCCAGATTTCCTGGCAGTCTGAATCTAGGCAACAGTACATTTTAATTGGTTTCCAGTTTTTTTTCTTTTAAAAATATATTTATAGAAGTAGAGATGGATTCTTAACTATGTTGCCCAGGCTGGTTTCTAACTCTTGAGCTCAAGTGATCCTTCCACCTTGGCCTCCCAAAGCTTGGGGATTACAGGCGTGAGCCACTGCACCTGGTCTCCAGTTTTCATTTCTTTGTATTTTTTAATATTAGAGCAAAGTGAAGTGTTGTTTCATGTTGTAAATTTTTCTCTTTTTAGAAATTGTAATTTAAAAATTCTAGTTGCTCCGGATTGATTTCTGAGCTAATTACCTGGGGGGTAATGAAGAAGATGAAAACATTAAATATCAAGCATGTTATTCATTGTAGTGCCTAGCTAAAAATCATGTTACTTTCATTGTACATGGCAGGAAGTGCACTCTGAAATTCTCTTGAGTAACACTGTTTCTAAATTGGCTCTTGCAGACTTGGGCTTAAGTGTTTGAAACGGTCTTGGAAGTGGGACAAGATACTTGTTAGATGGGTCCTCAACAACAAAGCTTTCTGGAACCTCTCTGCCATTGTTGGTGGCATATGGACAAAATGAGTTTTTTGTTTTACTTTGGTTTATGGGTTCATTTTGACAAAGTTGAGATATCTTTAGTTTAATGCTTATAGATTAATTAGTATTCATTTTAAATACTATATAAGTGATGTGCCTTACAAATGATTGCATTTTCAATTAAATAGGCCAGTTTTAAGTTTCTGCTGACCTCTGAATTATGTCTTGGCTACCATTTAGCTCTTCTAGGTTAATCTTCAGAATGTATAGCTTTTATTTGCCAAATAGTTTTTTGTATCCTAGCTTCATTTATTATAAAATTATAATTTAACATTTTAATTATACATTAAGTTAAAGAATCTTAATTTGGGTCTCAAGTTCAGATAGTAAGAGATATAGAGTCTTAAGAAATTCCTAAGTTTTTGCATTTGGATACCTATTAATGTATTCAGAAGTAATTTAGATGACACTATTTTGTTCCTGAGTTTTTTTTTTTGAGACGGAGTTTCGCTCTTGTTGGCCAGGCTGGAGTGCAATGGCGCCATCTTGGCTCACTGCAAACTCTTCCTTCCGGATTCAAGCGATTCTCCTGCTTTAGCCTCCCGAATAGCTGGGATTACAGGCATGCATCACTACACCCGACTAATTTTGTTTTAGTAGAGATGGGGTTTCTCCATGTTGGTCAGGCTGGTCTACCTCCGACCTCAGGTGATCCGTCTGCCGCGGCTTTCCAAAGCGCTGGGATTATGGGCATGAGCCACCGCGCCGGACCCTGTTCCTGAGTTCTGATAGGAGAGCGCAGAGAATATAGTATATCTGTGTATCCCGCTTTCTTTTATTTATTTAATTTTATTTATTTTAGACACAGAGTCTTGCTCTGTCACCCAAGTTGGAGTGCAGTGGTGTCATCTCAGCTCACTGCAACCTCTGTCTCCTGGGTTCAAGCAATTCTCCTGCCTCAGCCTCCTGAATAGCTGGGATTATTACAGGTGTCTGCTACCATGCCCAGCTAGTTTTTGTATTTTTAGTAGAGACAGGGTTTTACCATATTGGCCAGGCTGGTCTTGAACTCCTGATCTCAAGTGACCTGCCCACCTTGGCTTCCCAAAGTGCTGGGATTACAGGTGTGAGCCACGGCACCCGGCTTTTAAAATTTATTTTATTGAGACAGGAGTCTTACTATGTTCTTGCTATGTCCAGGCTGGTCTTGAACTCCTGAACTCAAATGATCCTCCCACCTCAGCCTTCTAAAGTACTGGGATTATAGGCATGAGCCACCATGCCCAGCTCCAGCTTTTTAAAAATTAGATAGAGCTCATATTTGTATTTTCCACTAAAAAATTTTTTTTTTTGCAAATTGGAAAATTGGCATTTTTTTTTTGCTAGTTTGGATCCCAGAAATTTTTATAATAGAACATGATTTTGTAAAAAGTGGAGTTTTCAAGTTGTCTTATTCTTAGCTGTGAATCCATTGGTCTGTTGATGAAAACTGTCATTTGCTCTACAAAATGAGAAAGCTGTGCAACCTCAAGCTTTGCAATGCCAAGGAAATAGGTGTGCTATGTGAGCTTACTCTTAAATAATGGCTTTTAGTGAGTGTAGCTACTTCATGTGTAATGCACATCACATTATATCACCTAGGGATTTTTGTAAACTATATTGCTGCTAGATACATGTGAAAATATTTTCTTTCAATTTAGGTGTTTCCCATGATGAACTGCTTGACTTAGCAAAGTTTCATTTTGGTGACTCTTTATGCGCACACAAAGGAGAAATACCAGCTCTGCCTCCCTGCACATTCACAGGAAGTGAGGTAGGGCAAGCCTCCCAGCTAGTATTTAGCCTTCTGGATTCCTTGTGTTGTATTTACACATAAGTAAACAAAATGTACTATTTCCAGTAGGAATAAAATGGAATAAAAGGCTTACACTGAAATACAGAAAAAGGGAAGAGGATGTACTCATTTGCTTAAGATTCCTTCCTCTTCTGTATTGTTTAACCACCTGTTTTTCTTTCCTAAGGAAGCAAGGTTTTTTTTGTTTTGTTTTTAAATTTCTCCATTCTAGTCTGAAAGGAAGCAGAGTTTTAAGAGCAGTTTATAATTTGGTCTTTTTGTGCTTTTTCTTTGGCACTGTGCAAATTTATATATTGTTATATCTGGAAGTAATCTTTTAAACCCCATATTTTGACTTTCACTTCAGGTTTACTCTTGGCTCAGTTTTGCCCACAGTATGTTTTGGGAGGGGGTAGTAACTGTTAGAGCCAGAACTTGCAGGGAATCTACTAGTTATCAACTAGCTTTAAGCCTCTTTAGGGGCTTAGTTTGCCATGTTAAGAATGATGCTCAACGTAGTATCTGGAAAATGCCCTGATATTGGCAGCTGCCTGGAACTGTAGCATTGGCAGTACAGGAATAAACCTGTAACGTCAATATGACATTTCGATAGAAAAGTTCAGATTGAGGCTGGGCGTGATGGCTCATGCCTGTAATCCCAGCACTTGGAGGGCTGAGGCAAGTGTGTCACTTGAGGTTAGGATTTTGAGACCAGCCTCACTAACATGGTGAAACTCCGTCTCTACTAAAAATACAACAATTAGCTGGGTGTGGTGGTGGTGCATGCCTGTAATCCAGCTACTCGGGAGGCAGAAGTTGCAGTTAGCCGAGATGGCGCCACTGCACTCCAGCCTGCGTGACAGTCTCAAAAAAATAAAAAGAAAAATTCAGATTGACAAACACAAAGGATTAATTTCTACCAGTGAAATGATGCAACCCTTTTTGACCTGGTAAACCACGTGGTGGCCGTCTGCAGTAAAATGCGTTGGGAAAAGTAATTTTTCCTTAACCCATGAAATTTCTTCTAGGCTAAACTATACAATGTAATGAGGCCTGATAGTTAAAAAATCAAGAGAGAGTCCTGGTGTGCATTTTAACTTTGCAATTAATGGGACTGGTGATTTTTTCTTGTTAATAAGCATGTTATATAATGTTAATCTTAACTAGAGGTCCTCCTGCTTTATCTGAACTAGATTCGTGTGAGGGATGACAAGATGCCTTTGGCGCACCTTGCAATAGCTGTTGAAGCTGTTGGTTGGGCACATCCAGATACAATCTGTCTCATGGTTGCAAACACGCTGATTGGCAACTGGGATCGCTCTTTTGGAGGAGGAATGGTAAGTGATTTTAAAAGAAATTTTCCGTAACAGATGGAAGATTATCATGTTTTCTTAAATACAAGTTCTTTGTAAGAATCCTTTTTTGAAGTGGCAAAATAGAGCCTTGTACTGTGAATTATATAAACTGATTCTGGTTTGCATGTGGGCCAGAAAAAAACATTTTCTTTTTTTCTTTGCCACAAAGTTTATTAGTGGCAAAATTTGAATAAGGACAGAAAAATTAGCTAGAAGTACTATATCAATGTTAATATTCTAATTTTAATGGTCAGTAGGCCTTCTATATCTGTGGGTTCCATATTCATGGATTCAACCAACCATAGGTGGAAAATTTGGGGGAACAAATGGATGGTTTCATCTGTACTAAACATGTATGGACTTTTTTTTGGTCACTTCCCATACAGTATAACAACTATGTACATAGCATTTACATGGATTGGGTATTTAGAGATGATTTAAAGTATATAGGACAATCTGCTTACATGCAAATACTATATACACCATAGTACATGAGGGCTCTAGCATCTGTGGATTTTGGTATCCACAGGGATCTGGGAACCAGTTCTCCACAGATACTGAGGAGCTATACCGAGGTGATGTAAGAAAATTAGTTTCCTTGTTTTTCACAAGTACATACTAAAGTACTTGGGGCAAGAAGCATCACATCTAAAACTCAAAACAGTTGAAAAAACTTGTATAAAGAGAATAAAGCAAACATGGTAAAATAACAGGGAATTTGGATAAAGGGAATTCTCTGTACTGTTTTTTGCAACTTTTTTGTAAGTTGGAATTATTGCAAAACACAGTGTATAGATTTGTCTTTACTCATAGATTTCTCCAAAATACATTTCATCTAAATATCTTAAGCTTTGTATGCAATATAACTTTGAATCTAAGCGTATGTAACCAAGAGCCCTAAAAATTGGGTTGATAATAGCAGTCTAGTTTTAGAAGTAGGTGTAGCTACTACATTAATTATAAGGATTCATTGCTTTTATAACATGAATTTCTCCAGGGGGTGCACTGGATTAATAAGCACAATTGTTAGTCATACTGAATTTTAACTGTACTACTGAGATGTTGAATTAAACTAGGAAATTTGCCTCTAAGGATATTCACTGTTTTCCACACACTCCATTTTCCTTTCTGTATTTTGGACATGTGTACTTAAAATTCTCTTGGAATTTTTTTTTTCCTTACAGAATTTATCTAGCAAGCTGGCCCAGCTCACTTGTCATGGCAATCTTTGCCATAGCTTTCAGTCTTTCAACACTTCCTACACAGATACAGGATTATGGGGACTGTATATGGTTTGTGAACCAGCCACTGTTGCAGACATGCTACATGTTGTTCAGAAAGAATGGTGAGAATTTAAGTAATTTAAATTTTGCCTTTAATTCGTTTTAGACTAGTTTTTTCTGTATACCTCATGGTGATTTATGGTAATTTTACCTTTTAATTAAGAGACCTAGATAAACAGTAGTTGCCATGTTTTTAAAGGTTTCTGATGTTTTTTCCTAAGTCTCAAGATGTGAAGCTGATTTATACTATAGGACTTTTTTTTTTTTTTTTTTTTGAGATGGGGTGTTGCTCTGTTGCCAGACTGGAGTGTAGTTGCACTATCTCGGCTCACTGCAGCCTCTGCCTCCTAGGTTCAAGCAATTCTCCCACCTGAGTCTCCCGAGTAGCTGGGATTACAGGTGTACCACCACGCCCGGCTAATTTCTTCTATTTTTAGTAGAGACAGGGTTTCATCATGTTGGCCAGGCTGGTCCTGAACTCCTGACCTCAGGTGATCCACCCTCCTCAGCCTCCCAAAGTGCTGGGATTACAGGCGTGAGCCACTGTACCCGGCTGAAAGTTTTAATCTTTCAGAAGCAGGTTAACTCAGAAAGATCTTAAAAGTTTAAAAGCCAACTAGAAGTTGTTTGGAAAATATCTTTGAAAGTAATCTGGTTGAAAGGAAAGTAAATCTGAAGTTGCCACTGCTAAAAGAAAACAATCAAAGTATATTGAGTCAGTAGATGGGCAGAAAGGCTCACAGCTTCTTGGAAAACATTCAGCTCTGGTTCCTTTCCTCCAGTATTCTTAAATTGGCTTACATCTTTCTAAATCTAGTCAACTAGGATGTAATTATTAAGTTAAAAATTAGGTTTAAGATTTTCATTGTTTTTAGAAACCAATGAATGACCCACTGACTTAACCCATAGCATATCAGACCCCAAGAGATGGGGACTGATGAAGTCTCAAGATGCTTATAGCATTTCTGAAAATGTCATCAGCCCATTTGTATTAAACCTTTGTGTACTAATGAGTAATTAGACATGTTTATCATTTTTGAGAAATTAATTCTGGGGAAAATAATCATTTTAGCTTTTGCTTAGATTAGAATTAAATCATAATCACCTGTATGTTATGTGTAGACTACGGCATCATTATTCTTAGGTCATTAACTCATGAAATACAACATTTTCCAACTGCTTAATAATGCTGTTTTTCCAACTGTTTTTTAGGATGCGGCTCTGTACAAGTGTCACTGAAAGTGAAGTCGCACGAGCCAAAAATCTCCTGAAAACAAACATGTTGTTGCAGCTTGATGGTAAAAATATAAGACATAGCTTCTATTTTCATATGGTTGATCTATATTCCAATACTTAATTTTTCCTTCTCTTTAAACAGGTTCAACTCCAATTTGTGAAGATATTGGTAGGCAAATGTTATGCTATAATAGAAGGATTCCCATCCCTGAGCTTGAAGCAAGAATTGATGTAAGTAGTCCTGAGTTATTACTGGGTCATGTGTGAAAAGATCCTTGTTACAAAAGCTGAGAATATTTATCTTTCATCTTGCTTTAGTTTTAAAAAGTTCCAGGTATAGACGTTGTCTTTACTACAAAAAGCTGAATGATAGTATCTTCCATATTTCAGGCTGTGAATGCTGAGACAATTCGAGAAGTATGTACCAAATATATTTATAATAGGAGTCCAGCTATTGCTGCTGTTGGTAAGCCTGGCTTCTTTTCTTCTATGCGAAAAGTTGGCCAAGTACTTTTAATTAACTGTCTTCTTTTTAATCCTTAGGTCCCATTGAGCAACTACCAGATTTTAAACAGATTTGCAGTAACATGTGTTGGCTTCGTGGTTAAAATGCTCGTTATCAAGGTTATCTGAACACATGTATTTATAAAACTGAGATCTAGAAAAAAATAAAAATGAACATGTATATACATTTGAATGAAAACATGTATATACATCTGGAAATTTGAATGAAATACTGTATCATACTTTCAAAGGATAAAAAGACTACCCCTCTGAAAGTTGTTTTGTATTAATGGTCAATCTTTGTTCTCTGAGAAATTATGTTGGAAGCAGCATACTTTCAAATTATTACCATAAGTATAATTTTAAGAATGAAAATGTTTACAGTATTTTCAGTTTTATTATAAAAATGCACATACAACAAAGATTGTCATTAAGTCATTTCTTGGCTCTGCTTGCATTCAGCACTTGTTCTTGAGCAGCTTTCTTTGCTTTTACCATCTCGACAAGTTCCTAGGAAGGGAGAAAGGAAGTTGTCAGAATTAAAAACAGACATTTTAATCTAGTGTTTGGTATAAAGAATTCAAACAACTAAGACAGTACTAAGTATACCGATTTCACTGCCTGCCAGGGCCTAGAAAGTTTCTAAGGTTGCTCATTTATTCCTAATAATATTGGCCCCATAACTACTGGTGTTGAAATAAGCACTATATTATTAACCACTTAATAGACATAAAATGTGAGCTATATAACCCACGTTAAATTTAAAATACAACAATCTATAAACTCTTAAGTCTGCAACCTTATATCGTTTCATGCAGTCCTTCTTTGTCCTGCCAGGCACTGCTTCTGCTATTTTTTCCCATCTTTCAGGTGTATTTACTGGGTATGTTTTCAAAGCTTGTTCCAAAAGCTTCTGTTCTTCTGTTGTCCAAGGGGTGAAGTCCGTATATGGACCTGTTTAAGAAAAATTTTATTTGAAAACTGTCTTATTCAGAACATGTTCCCAGACAAGTCTTGTGGTCCACAAGTGTCCGCTAAGTGCCCATTTCAGTCTGGGATGTGTCATTTTGAAATAAACTTGTAGAGATGAGAGATACATATATCCCTCTGAGTGTTAAGAGAAAAAACTTTAGATGACTCACATCCCAGAAAATAAAATCTCAAAGGCTTTTTAAAACACAAGAGTAAAGATCTGCCTTGTACTGTTTATCTCTTATAAATCAATGTAATATACCCACTAGACTGAAAAAAGCCATATTTAAATTTATAGTACTGTTGGACTCTCAGGCTCAAAAACAACCACAATTCATTGAGAGTTCTGATAAATCTACTTTCTTACAGGACAGGTAAAAGAGCTTCCTCACAGTTAAACTTTTGCTGGATAGAAACCCTGGAAACCATTTTTGTTTTACACTGAAGGAAACAAACCTAGCAAAATTAAGCCAAGTGCCCAAGGTACCAGTGCCGAAGAGGCAAGCTGAGATTAGATTGTGTTGTAGTGTGGTGTTCTCTTCACCACATCTGCTAAAATCTTGGGAGCCAATGCTGAACATTTCCAATAACTGCTATTGTGGTTTTTCAACTAAACCTTTAATATTTCAGAAAACATCTAAGATGTGTGTCAGAAACAAATGTATTTCTTAAGGATGTTAAGTATTACACAGTCCACTTGTGTAGGTAAAAGGAGAATGTTAAGTGGCAGAGAGCTGATTTGGTTAAGTCAATGGACTTCTGGCAATTTAGTTATTTCAGACTATGCAGTGACAACACAGACTTAATATTACCAGTACCCTGACTACTACTTGAAACTGCATCCTGTGAGATCTGTCACAAAGTTAAGCCTAGAAACCAAAGTTCCTTCCCAATTAAAGAAGGAAAAAAAAAAAAAAAAACCCACCACCTATTCAAAACAAAGCAGAGAATTTGTATAATATTTGAAGGTACCTAAGGTACATAAGAAGCTTTTTTGAAGGTAACTTTTAAGTTCTAGGAAGTCCTGTTGAATTTCCTTATATTGGTTTAAAGTCCTGAATACCATAGATTTTATATCCTCTCTTGGAAAAAAGATGGAAGTGACATGGCAGTATTTCCTGCTGTTTTCCAGTTACTTCACAATACCAAAATAAATTAAATGTACTGTTGCAAAATTCCTATGAGAAATCACTATTCAAAAAATGGTGCCAGGTTGATGTTTAATGGTACAACTGAAGAGGAAGGAGCCTTCCCATTTCCATAAAAGAGGCAAAGATGCTAAAAGACAAAGGACTACTGTCAGTCACTCTTGCCTTCACAGGGTCACCTCTCCTCACAGCAGACTGGACAAGTATCAGGGCCTACTTCCCTCCAACATGGAAACAAGTCCCCTAAGAGCTGAGACTAGTGTGCTAATACCTGTTGTATGGTATTTTGTGGAGATAAAGGCACAGGAGAATAAACCCCTTTAGAAGTGTCCTTCAGGTGTTCTGAAACCCTGCCTTGTTACTTACCTTTATTAAAAGAACTGAAATAATGCCTAACTCAGCCAAACAAGTTACCCCTGATTTTTGCAAACAGTGATCTTCCTCCCCTATATAACACTGAGTCTCAGATCTTTAAGTTGAAATTTTGGGATAATAAACAAGATTAAGAAGATAGGTAAAACTGGGACTCTTAGAAGAAAGAAACAGCTTATCATGTATAGTCAAGTCTATTAATCCAAAAGCATCTTTCTGCGATTAGTTTAAGAAAGGACTGGTGGCTCACAGAACATCAAGTGAAAGAACTTCTTTCACATAAACTGCTTTCAAACTATAGCAAGAAAAAAATTTATATCACATCCCCAGACACAAAGACACACATGAACAAGAGTTTCATTACAGTATACCCACCTATATAATGGGTGTCACACTCACTAATTTTCTATTCAAGACACACTAAATTGACTTCATGACCCAGTGATGGGTCATGATTTGTAATATGAAAAGCACTGGTCTAGGGTAATCAAATTAGAACACCCAATATCAAACCCTAACAGGGTTTTTTTTTTTTTTTTTGAGAGGCTTACTATGTTTCCCAGGCTCGTTTTGAACCCTAACAATTTTTGACTTTATTTTGAAATAATTTTAGAGGAGTAGAAAGAATTGTATACTCTGCCTGCATTCCCCAAATGTGAACATTTTCATGTTTGCTAATTCTTTTTCTCTATATGTACAGACATACTTTGCTCTGAACCATAAGTTGCAGACATGATGCCTCTTTATTCCTAAATACTTTGTGTGTTTTTCCTTAAACTTAAGGACATTTTCTTGTATAATTACAGTACATTTCTCAAAATCGAGCAATTATCCCGATAAAATACTATTCTTTTGTCCCAATAATATCCTCTAACACTGATCTGTCAAACCTGGTAAGAAAAACAAACACAGCCCCCTTCTCTAATGGCATCTGAAATGCAAGAACTGTAATTCTCCATTTTTAATGGTGAGGTGAAGTAAATCTTTGCCCTGGAAATGTTTGCTTACAGCTTCCAGTCTGCTGAACATTTTATTTCCCTATCATTCTGAACATAAACCCTAAGTCTTGTATATCCAAGCAGCACAGATACATGGCTAGCATTTTCTACTTTTAGAAAAGCAAAATTTACCTTCAAATCGTTCTGAAGGTGCTGCGTTGTCTGCTTGAGGTACCACTCCATGTTCTTTTTTAAACTTATCAAATGCCTTTTTATTTATGTCATCTTTTTGATGAGGGTCTGAGAAATGAAAAACTTTTAATACTTAACAGATCATCTCATTTAATCTTTCATTAAATTGCGTAAGTTATTTTAAAAATAGGTGTTTAAAGTAACAAATGGATTTCTCAAAACTCACCAAGTTTTTGGAGACTCTTTGCTTTGCCAATAACATCTTTGGCAGTTCTTTTGACTCCAGAGGAAGAATGTATGTTCATGTAATTAGCAATAACTTCCCATCTGATAGGATATATTATACCAATAATATAATTTAATAGTATTAAGGAAAAACAAAACAACAAATACCATTAGATTTTTACTGCAGAAAGGTTATAGTATAGAATGAGCTCAAATTGGTAGTCTAATGATGCTGCTACTATAAATTCCTGTTGCCTGGACTAGGGTTTTTGCTTTTCATATGTTTAAATCAACTATATAATCTTGGTTTTAAGTCCATACATCTTACATATTCTGTGTACAAATCAACATAAATAAAACTACTTATTTGTGTATACTGCCATTTTTTAACACATTTCTTCAGAAGATCAATCATTCTGAAAACAGCCTCAGTTTCATCTATAGAATTAGGGATGCTGGGTCCCTAGGGCTTTCTTGGGAGTTAAAATCAAGCTCCAGGCTTGAGGTGGGAAGAAACAAACAGCAAGACTGTAAAAGAAAAACTACAGAAAACCTAATCCCCAGCACAAGCCATGACAGAGTAGGCCAACATAAGTCAAGATTTGTCTCATGATCTTCAATTTCCTAAGAAGCTGAAGCATTTTGTCCTATGTGTATGTGCATGTGTACTGGTGTAATGGGTAAGACTGACAGCTTCAAAATGTACCTTTTTCACACTTCTGCTGTGGCACAGAATTTATCTCTGCAAGTTTCTGTGATAACAAGTGCTGCTATTTGGAGTCTGTCTACATTATCTCCAGGCTCCAGTGTGAGTTGAAGAAAAGTTTCATTAAAACCAGTACCTTGAATTTGTTCCAGCAGGGAACAGATTCACAGCTTTAATTAGTAATTGTAAATCATCTTCTGACCAATTTTTACTTCCATTTCCACCTCCACCAGTTGATTTTTCTGTGTTCTTAGATGCTTGTCGCATACGAGCCTCAGCTTCTTCTTTCTCTTTTCTGATTTGCTCATTTATTTCTTCTATCTGCACAAATATCATAAGTCAGGGACTTAAAAGTATATTGCTACTCTACACTCTCTCCCTGGCTAGGGCTTTGTGATCCTCAACTCTTAATGTCATTCTCACTCTGACCCCATACTCCTCTCCAAGGCCAACCCAAAAACAAGCACCAGCTTTCCACTCTGGCTTTTCCTGCTCTGGCTTCCAGTCTGCATAGGTCTGCCTGAGGGACCAAGAACTGCCCACAGCCTGCCTGATCTTCCCAGTACTCACGTCACGTGTCTTCCATTAGCCTTGGACACTAATTGACAAGTCTGTGGTTCACTGAGTTACTCATCCACAAGGCCATTTCATACCTCTCTTTAAACTCATTCACCCTTTCTGCAGCACCCTTTCTGCAGACAATCTCATTTATTCTCTACAAAAGGTGAAGGCATGGCAAAATGGCCTGTTTTATTTTCAAGTTGTACCATTTACATTGTTCCTTCTAGTCTACCTTCAAACATGCACAAGTAAAAAAAGAAAACTTTTATTTGCCTTGTTGCTTCTGTCAGCTGCTATCTTAGAGTCATCTTTGGCTCATTTCTCCCCTTCAATTCCTTAGAACCAGTAAAGTCTCAATAATGCTAACTTTGAAAAGTTTTTTGATTCCCATCATTGCGTTCATAGTGTAGGTTCTTTTTCTTTCTTTTTTTTTTTTTTTGAGATGGAGTCTCACGCTGTTGCCCAGGCTGGAGTGCAGTGGTGTGATATCGGCTCACTGCAACCTCCGCCTCCCAGGTTCAAGTGATTCTCCTGCCTCAGCCTCCCAAGTAGCTGGGATTACAGGTGCCTGCCACCATGCCCAACTAATTTTTCTATTTTTAGTAGAGATGGGGTTTCCCCACGTTGGCCAGGCTACTCTTGAACTCCTGACCTCAGGGGATCTGCCTGCCTTGGCCTCCCAAAGTGCTGGGATTACAGGCATGAGCTACCATGCCCAGCTCATAGTGCAGGTTCTTAAAGTAAGATTCTCACAACTAGTCACATCTATCTGACGCACCTTATCCACAAACGTCAGATTAGTAGTACAATGTTGAACCTTCTGTTAATCAAAGATTTGCAGTAATGGAAACTAGTCAACAAGGTATTAAAAACCTGATAACTGGTTCTACTTTTTCTAACTGATTGTGTTTCCCACTCCTTTTCCCCATAATGTTCTACCTTTTCTTTTTTTTTTTTTTTTTTGGTCTGTTTTTTGAGACAAAGTCTCGCTCTGTTGCCCAGGCTGGAGTGCACCAATGTGATCATAGCTGACTGGAGCTGTGGCCTCCCAGGCTCAGGTAATCCTCTAACCTGAGCCTCCTGAGAAGCTGGGACATGACACCATGCCAGTTAATTTTTGTATTTTCAGTAGAGATTTTGTTCATGTTGCCCAGGCTGAACCACACTTTATACTTCTATTTCTATTTGATAGTTTGTGGTATTCTTCTGACCTTCATTTTAACTCTATCCTTCCTTTCAGGCTGGTTCAAACTCTACACCAAACCTTCCCTGGCCACTAAACTTGTGGCCCTTCCTATCCTACACAACATTTACTATGGGCTCTCCATCTTTTGGTCCTTAAGGTTCTTCTCAGCCTAAGTCCTTTGTGGTGCAATAGCATTAGGCATTTCTCCAAAAGAATCTAGGCATAGTGTTATATATAGTAGGTACTAATACTTGTTGAACTGAATTGAATTTCTGGGCCTGTTTTCTTATCTGTAAAATAAAAGGTATAGACTAGACAGAACAAAGATCTCTTTTGGTTCTAAATGTTATTACCCTATGAAAATACTCAAGGAATAATCAAAACAATTATTTTCTTCTAATGATGATTTTGCAAAAGCTATGATTGTGATAGATACCACAATTCAAACACTAAGCATGGTAAAAACCATACACATTAAATCCAACTTAAATCAACAACAGCACTTACTACATAAACAAAACACAGGCTGGGCGTGGTGGCTCATGCCTATAATCCTTTGGGAGGCCGATGCGGATGAATCACCTGAGGTCAGGAGTTCGACACCAGCCTGGCCAACACAGCGAAACCCTGTCTCTAGTAAAAATACAAAAATCAGCCGGGCATGGTGGCACACACCTGTAACCCCAGCTGCACTCCAGCCTGGATGACAGAGAGAGACCCCGTCTCAAAAACAAAAAACAGGCTGGGCGTGGTGGCTCACACCTGTAATCCCAGCACTTTGAGAGGCTGACACAGGCGGATCATGAAGTCAAGAATTCAAGACCAGCCTGACCAACATGGTGAAACCCCGTCTCTACTAAAAATACAAAAATTAGCCGAGTGTGGTGGTGTGTGCCTGTAATCCCAGCTACTCAGGAGGCTGAGGCAGGAGAATCACTTGAACCCAGGAAGCGGAGGTTGTAGTGAGCTGAGATTGTGCCACTGCTCTCCAGCCTGGGCGACACAGCGAGACTCCGTCTCAAAACAGAAAACAAACACACAAAACAACAACAAAAAAACAGTGGGAAACACAGAGAAATCAGATACTGTTTGTACTTGGTGACTTATATATTAGGTAAAGAAACAGGTAAAAGCAGAATTAAATGCTACATATAGGTAGGAGTGATGTGTTCTTCTATTACCTGTTTTTCCAAAGCAGCCTTTCCTACTTCTTTTGTGCATGATGTGAGTGTTTCATTCAAGCACTGTAAGCTAAAGAAAAAAAAAAAAAAAAAGAAGAAATGAAACTTTATCCTAAGCTCAAGTGAAGACTTCAATAGCAGTTCCATAGGTATACCTTGCCAGTTCAAGCCGATCACAAAGTTTTTCCACTTCTTCCATCATTTTAACCCGCTCTGCCTCATTATCAGAAAAATGATTCCAGGTCTAAAAGCACAAACACAAAAATTATCTTATATCTACTCACACTCAAAAATACATCCATCAACGTAATTACAAAGCATGAGCTCTTAGGAGTTCCTGATGTGAACATACATAATGGCCTTCTGCCCATCCCCAGCTGTACTTCCACGGTACCTCCCAGGGCTCTCCCTGATCACCTAGCAATAAAAAGCATTATATACCAAGTTGGAGGTACATACCAAGGAGAAGCATAACAGAAAAAAGAATGCCTAGGGATGTTATAAAAAGTCAGAATGATTCCTTAGAGAATCACTTAAGGATCAAGAAATTCTGTATGATGACTCAAAATCCCTTTGTTTGGCGACCTGTTGCAATGTGTGCTGAACTGTAAAATCTGGAAATTTTAAATGTGAAATTAAAAAGATGACAGTGTGTGCTTAGGAACAAGAGGTATTAGCAAAAGTTTCAATTAACTAAAGACTATGCTCGGAATGGAACAGCATGATGCACAAGAAGTAACTGGCAAGTACTTGCCATGCTTTAAGCTGCTGTTGAGACTTATGTCTCCCATTCCTCACTTCTCCTTGCTTCCTTAATCCATGCAATCTGCCTCTCACTAAGGTTCCAGTGCTTCTATTACTATTCACTCTTCCCTAGGCTTCCAAAAGCACTACTGATTTTCTTCCTACCTGCCTGGTCACTCCTTCTCAGGCTTCTTTTCCTCTATCAGTACCTTATGTACTGGTGTTTTGCCAGAGTCCCAGCCTCCACTCTCCTCACTCTATACCCTCTCCCAGGGTGATCTTCTATATCTGCAGAGTTTCTAGTGCTATCAAGATGTGGAAGAGTCTGTGATAATCCTGTTCTTGAACTTACACACTCAATCATGTGCCAAGTTATCTCCATTTGAGTGTCCCAAGAAGCTCAACACACCCTAAACTGAAATCATTTTTGCCAAGTCTTTTCCTCCTCCTTTGTTTTCTACTTCCCTGAATGCTACCAGCGTCATCCATCCAGTATTCCATGCAATAAACCAAGGCATATAAAGATCTCACTCCTTCTGTTACCTCCAACATATAATCAATCCCAACAGGCAATAGCCTAGTCTACTTCCTGAATCTCTCTCCCTTTCATCTACCTTTTTCCATCCCTATCATCTCTGAGTTCAGGCCACAATACTCTCTCACCCGGATTGTGGCAAAAGACTCCTAAATTAGTCTCTCTGCCTCTAGTCTTCTCAGCACCCTGACCAAAACCAACTCAGGATCGGAGTAAGCTCTTTAGCAAGACGTATAAAGCCCTTTAAGACCAGGCTCCTCCTTACCTCCTCAGGTGCCCCTGGTTCATTAAATCTCATTTCTCTGGATCTCTGCATTCTCAATACTCCATCTGTCTTATCCTTAATCCTGTGTACATACTGCTTCACCTGGCTAAATCCTACTAGATGCAGAATGCCTTCCTTGACTACCTTTTTGGTACCTTCTCATCCTAATACCTACCTTGAAGTGTTGGAATAGCTTGTTTACTTTTCATCACTAATCAGTAGACTCCTTGAAAGAACTGTGCAATCATTACATTCACATCAATTACAACTGCTTGGTACATAGTAAATGCTCATCAGATATGGATTTACGATAATCTGGTGAGTATTTACTCTGAATGAATAAATTATGTGAGAAAGGAGCAAGAAAACAAAGTTTCCAAATGTCAGGACTTTTATTTATGCATAATCTCTAAGAACTATTCAAGCTTTATTTCCTGATTGGCCTTTTAAGGTTCTTGCTGAATGTGCCAAGCACTACATGTGAATTATCTCATTTAATCTTCACAACTCTGTGACTAGGTATCATTTCAACTATAGAAGAGGTGAGGAAAGTGACGCACAAAAGTGTTGAGGTAATCTCCTGAGGGTCCCACAGCTAGTAAGAGGTAAGCAGAGAATAGCCTCAAACCCAGGTGGCTTGCCCTGAGCCCATGCTCTTTACCACTTTGATAACACTGCATCCTTCTGAAAACAATCTTCTATACAGTGGAATCTGAGAAAAATATGTATGTTTTCAAATTTGGATTTTCTTTTTCCTTATTAAAATGCCTAAAGAAACAAGTGCTTGTATTTTTATTAAGCCTCTTTCAATGTCAGCTGATGGGGCAAGTTAATTTCAATTGTATTATTATCTGAAGATTTAGGATAGCATATATTAGACCATACATGTCTACAGCCTTCTAGATAGTCACATAAAAGATAATTTTTCTATACATATTATGCATTTACATACTTGCTAGATTCAACTACAATGGACAATGGTATAGTACACAATATTCTTTGTGTGGCAATCTCTATTATAGCTTGGAATTCCACCAATTTATTCATTCAATGTTGTTTAGTAAGGAACAGTACTGTCCTGTGACTTTACCAGCTTAAAATATAAGAATTAGCTCTTAGTCAAAATTATACTTAAAAACTTTTCCGGTTTTTGGTAAATACTTTCTAGTGGAAACTGTATTTGAATGAAAACTGCCAGTACTCACTCAAATGATACCATTTTAGATAAAACTGAAAGCTTTTAGAACTTTAAAAACAAGTTAAAACTTTTTAAAAAACTTTCTAAGCTAAAAATTAATTTTACACCAATAGGAAGCAACAACCTAAAACCAAATTGTGGCACCTTCTCAGAAAAATGATCTGGTTTCTCCAACAAATCAGTGGCAATGGTGTGAGGTGGGGAGAAGTGGTGATACAGAGGTGTTACAGAACTAGAGGGTCTTAAGAACAACCAGGAGACACAACAACTGAAGTATTTATATTGTATTGACCTTATTTGGGTCCTAATTTGAATACACCAACTATAAAAAGACATTGCTGAGGCTGGGTGTGGTGGATCATGCCTATAATCCCAGCACTTTGGGAGGTCGAGGTGGGTGGATCATGGGGTCAGGAGTTTTACACCAGCCTGGCCAATACGGTGAAACCCTGTCTTGACTAAAAATACAAAAATTGGCTGGGAATGGTGGCAGGTGCCTGTAGTCTCAGCTACTCAGGAGGCTGAGGCAGAAGAATCGCTTGAACCCGGGAGGCGGAGCTTGCAGTGACCTGAGCTCACGCTACTGCACTCCAGTCTGAGTGACAGAGCAAGACTCCATCTCAAAAAAAAAAAGACATGGCTGAGATAACTGAAGATATGAATATAGACACAGTTTCAGAATATATATATATTTTTTTTTTGAGACAGAGTCATGCTCTGTCGCCCAGGCTGGAGTGCAGTGGCATGATGTCTGCTCACTGCAAGCTCCGCCTCCCGCGTTCACGCCTTTCTCCTGCCTCAGCCTCCTGAGTAGCTGGGACTACAGGTGCCTGCCACCATGCCCAGGTAATTTTTTGGATTTTTAGTAGAGACGGGTTTTCACTATGTTAGCCAGGATGGTCTCGATCTCCTGACCTTGTGATCCACTAACCTTGGCCTCCCAAAGTGCTGGGACAGTTTCAGAATATTAACTTTTTTTTTGGTTTGATAATGGTAAGAAAAAAACTATCAGGGTTGAAAACTGAAATATGTAAGGTGAAATTTAGAAAAAGTTAAAAACACACTGAGATAAAATTAAACCTGTTTAGTTGTAGTTGTCTGTTCGTTTGTTTTTTTCGAGGAGTCTAACTGTGTCTCCCAGGCTGGAGTGCAGTGGCGCAATCTCGGCTCACTGCAATTTCCGCCTCCTGGTTCAGGCAGTTCTCCTGCCTCAGCCTCCCGAGTAGCTGGGATTACAGGCACATGCCATTGGGCCTGCCTAATTTTTGTATTTTTAGTGGGGATGGGGTTTCACCATGTTGGCCAGACTGGTCTTAAACAACTGACCTCAAGTGATCTGCTCGCCTTGGCCTCTCAAAGTGCTGGGGTTACAGGCATGAGCTACCATGACCAGACTCGTTTAGTTATAATTGCATAGTAAAGAAAAGAAATACATTTATGCTTGGACAAGTGCAGTGGCTCATGCCTATAATCCTAGCATTTTGGGAGTCCAAGGTGGGTGGATCACTTGAGGCCAAGAGTTCGAGACCAGCCTGGCCAACATGACGAAACCCCTCTCTACTAAAAATACAAAAATTAGCTGGGAGTGGTGCTGTGCACCTGTAATCCCAGCTACTTGGGTGGCCAAGGCATGAGAATGGCTTGAAGTGGGGAGGTGGAGGTTGCAGTGAGCCGAGATGGCATCACTGCACTCCAGCCTGGGTGACTGAGTGAGACTCTGCCTCAACAACAACAACAACAACAACAACAACAACTTAATTAAAAATTGTTCTTTTGGCTAGGCGCAGGTGGCTCACGCCTGTAATCCCAACACTTTGGGAGGCTGAGATGGGTGGATCACGAGGTTAGGAGTTCAAGACCAGCCTGGCCAACACAGTGAAACCCCGTCTCAACTAAAAATACAAAAAATTAGCTGGGCATGGTGGCGGGTGCCTGTAATCCCATCTACTCAGGGGGCCGAAGCAGGAGAGTTGCTTGAACCCAGGAGGCGGAGGTTGCAGTGAGCCAAAATCGTGCCATTGCACTCCAGCCAGGTGACAGTGCGAGATGCCATTTCAAATAAATAAATAAATAAAAATATTTTTTTTTTTCAAGAAATATTTTGGTCAGGCGCAGTGGCTCATGCCTTTAGTCCCAGCACTTTGGGAGGCTGAGGTGGGGAGATTGCTTGAGGTCAGCAGTACGAGACCAGCTTGGCCAACATGACGAAACCCTGTCTCTACTACAAATACAAAAATTAGCTGGGCGTGGTGGCACGCGCCTGTAATCCCAGCTACTTGGAAGCTGAGGTGGGAGAATTGCTGGAACCTCGGAAGGGGAGGTTGCAGTGAGCCAAGATCACGCCACTGCACTCCAGTCTGGGCAACAGAGTAAGACTCCGTCTAAAAAAAAAAAAAAGAAAAAGAGAACTGTTTTTTGATTAATCAGCAACTTGATTTACTTGTGCCTAGTGTTTGTTCAGTCTGACATACCTTGCATGAGTTTCGAAGTTTTTGCCTTTCCTTCTTAATGGCTTTTTTCTGGAGATCTTTTTCCTTCTTTGCCAACAATGCTTGCTGTCTAACTTCCTCCTCTTCTTTCTCCTTAGCTAACCGAGCAGCTTCTAATTCAGCTTGCCTTTGCTTTAAAAAAAGGGAGTAAAATCATTTTAATAAAGTAAAATTCCTAAATGCTTTATATTTTTTAAAATTTAAACTTTTAATAAATTATATTAGGAAAAAAGGCAACATAAACTTATTGAAAACTGAAGGATGAACTGGGAAAGGCAGCTGGTAAAGATCCATAGACATTTATTAGAAAATGTAAAATTGACATTAGAAATAAACATAATATTAAAGGAACGTATGACACCCTTTTTTTGCTCAATAAAAATTTGCTGGTAAGGAAGATCTCTCTCAATTATACCAACTTGTCATGATTCATTCACAGTAGCACCCAATTCTCTGCTTTCAAATTATAGTTTTTTAAAAAAATAGATGTGAAGAATAAAGATGTATTTTTTAAATTTTTTATTATACTTTAAGTTCTAGGGTACATGTGCACAACATGCAGGTTTGTTACATATGTATACATGTGCCATGTTGGTGTGCTGCACCCATTAACTCGTTATTTACATTAGGTATATCCCCTAATGCTATCCCTTCCCCCTCCACCCACCCGACAGGCCCCGGTGTGTGATGTTCCCCTTCCTGTGTCCAAGTGTTCTCATTGTTCAATTCCCACCTATGAGTAAGAACATGAGGTGTTTGGTTTTCTGTTCTTGCGATAGTTTGCTGAGAATGATGGTTTCCAGCTGCATCCATGTCCCTACAAAGGACATGAACTCATCCTTTTTTATGGCTGCATAGTATTCCATGGTGTATATGTGCCACATTTTCTTAATCCAGTCTGTCACTGATGGACATTGGGGTTGGTTCCAAGTCTTTGCTATTGTGAATAGTGCCACAATAAACAAACGTGTGCATATGTCTTTATAGCAGCATGATTTATAATCTAGAGATTTCATAAACATTTAAAGTCCACCTTCATTAAATGTTGTCTTACTTTTTCTTTAGCTTCTTGCTCCTTCCGTTTAGCTTCTGCTTTTGCTTTCTTTTCTGCTTCTTTCTTGGCTTTTTCTTCTTCCTTGAACTTTTTTATCCTTGGATCACAGCTATATGCATTGTCTACCAAAAGAAAAAGTTGATCTCATTTTGAATTTCTAATATTTAGGGGACTTAAAAAAAAATCAATTATACTTACCAACTAATGTTCTTATTCTGTTCATTTCTTCTTTTTTTCTTTGTGCTCTTGTTGCTCTGTTCTGCTTTTCAATCCATCTCCTCTCATCACGACTATAAAACAGAAAATACTGGAAACAAACTACTGCTTATAGATACTGTGACTGGAAAATGTAATATTTTATAAAATATTAATATGTAAATAACATCCTAGAAGGTTAAAATGCTGTGTCATTACTAACATTAAACAATGACTTATGTTGGCCAGGCTGGTCTCGAATTCCTGACCTCAGGTGATTCACCTGCCTCAGCCTCCCAAAGTGCTAGGATTACAGGCATGAGCCAGCAGGCCTGGACTAAACAGTGGTTCTATTTAATATTAATTCTGGTTATTTTTTGGGCATTCATGTCAAAAGCATTTCTGCACACATACAAAAAACAAACAAACAAACAAACAAAACCTAATAAAACCTAGGTTAAGCAACCAGAAGAAAAAGATTTTGCTGAACTGCGCTGACGTTATATTCCCTGGCAATTTCTTAAGCATATCCTAACCAATTATTGATCTGGGCCCACCTAGTTTAACTTGTGAGAAAGGATTTCAAAATATTAAAAAATTGTTTAAAAAAGATGTACAAAGAGAAAAATTTGAAAGACAATTTATGTGACATAGTTTTACATCATCACAAATACCAGAGAACCAAATAAACACCTTCCATTATTAATGATTTGCATACATACCATTCCGCTTTTTCTTTTTCTTCTTCATCTAAATAAGAAAATTCTCTCCAAGAATCAAAATTATACCTAATATAGACAGAAATAATTTACAATCAAGAAAGAACAAATGAAAAAAATTCCTTTTAATGCAAATGGATGAATTTGTTTTAACAGATACCTTTCTTCTCTTCTAGTATTAAACTAAGGTCAAATCTTTCTCCTTTTTAAATGACATTGCATTTGGTATGGAAATCTAAAATGCACGCATCACTCCATAATCAAAACCACACTTCCCTGCTGTCTCTTCTTTGTTAGGTTTTTTGCTTGACCAAGACCTATTTTTAAATTTTCCTTGCCTTTCAGTTTCGCCAGTCTGTCAAGTCTGAAGGTAACCCTAGTAGTGGTTATCTCATCTCCAGTTTGTATCCTCTGAAGGTAAAAGCAATTACAACTGATTGAACTAAATCTTGTTATTTTTGTTCTACATGATTTTGTTTTTGTATTTACTAGGCATTTGATGAGAAAATGTAGCACATATAAAATGGCCACTAACTATTGTGTTTATTAAAAATTAGTGAATTAGTTACAGAGACAAATAGCACTGTCTCCTTCCTCATGAACTCAAGTACTTTTAGTAGTAACTAAATAAAAATGTACTGATTTTTATTCAAATGACTCCCCAATTTTCCTGTTTTACTACTATCGTGTGCTTGATATCTAGAAATCTCATTAATAGAAAACAGGCTGAAAATCTTAAAAGCCTAAATATCACAAAGATAACAGAGTGCTTTTGTTCAGTGAAGGTTCTGCAATTTGCCCATCTCAATTAATTTATAAACAATCAAGTACTTATTGAATACTTTTCTTTTTAAAAGATGACAGCATCATACAAACAGTATATTCACTTACCAGAAAGAATAAAATATATCTACATCTTCAAATGATGAATTCATATCACCAAGTTTAGGAACATTTTTTTTATTTGACCATCTGAAATATCAAAGGAAATATTCTTAAAATTCTCCAAAAATTATGTACAAAAGTTCAACAAACAACTTAATTTATTAAAAACAATAGTTTTAACTAATCCCTCTGATTTCCCTTCCCTACAAACTCTACAACTCGAAGATGTCGCTGGAAAGTCAGCAGTGGGGTATGAAACAACACAGGCGTGTGAAAAGTGAGGCCAGACATAGACTGGGGAGAGGAGAGAAACACGGGACAGCCTTCTAATCACAGGTTACCTTCAGTTCTATAAAGTACAATGCCATAGCAGCTGCTAGTCAGGCTAGGAAAAATGGCAGCTAGCTCCTTTTGCCAAGCTCCTGTCCCTAAATAGGCAGCACAACAACAACCTGTAGGCCTAGCCCTTTAAAAGTGTTAATAGTCACAGATGGAAGTAATTTCTACCCCATCACCACCACCACCTTCCCCTTAGAGCCAGATTTCTTGGCGCAGCACTTCATCGATCACTGCTGAAAAGGATCCTGAGGCTGCTACTGATCCACGTTTTCTACTCTGTGAAATCATTACACAGAAAAATATACTACTCCTTTTTACCACCTCAGCACTGTTATAAAACAAATGTGGCCAGGCGCAGTGGCTCACGCCTGTAATCCCAGCACTTTGGGAGGCTGAGGCCAGCGGATCACCTGAGGTCAGGAGTTTGAGACCAGTCTGGCCAATACGGTGAAACCCTGTCTCTACTAAAAATAGACAAATTAGTGGTGGCAGATTCCTATAATCCCAGCTACTCAGGGGGCTGAGGCAGGAGAATTGCTTGAACCTGGGAGGCAGAGGTTGCGGTAAGCCAAGATCGTGCCACTGCACTCCAGCCTTGGCAACAGAGCAAGACCCTGTCTCAAAATAAACAAGGAAAAAAACAGAAAGAAAAACAAAAAATAAATGTGAAATCCAAGGGAGAGAAGATGGCGGAAATACTAGGCGGCGCCAAACTGCTAACTGAAGTGGTTCTCAAATTTGGCTGCACAGTAGAATCACCTGGGAGCCTTAAAAATCCCCACAGGAATTCAAACCAATAAATCAGAATCTTTCCAGGGGGAACGCAGGCATCAGGAGTTCTTCCTGTTCTCCAGGTAATTCCAATGTGCAGCTAAGATGTGCTTTAAGGAAACCTGCCAACGCAGATGGAAAAAAAAGATGTAAAATAATATTGGTGCACACTATTTTAAAACAAACTTTAATGAAATATGTATGCTTTAATCATAAATATAAATAATGTTTTGTCAAAGAAGCCTTATGATAATCAGATGATCAAATAAAGAACAAAGGCTTTTCTCAACTGACAATGAGTCAGAGTAGTATACCCATTCATAAAGAGGAAATCAAAGAATAGAAAATTACTGTCACCTAAGTGTAAGAATCACACTATAAAAGTCAGATACTGTTATTTCTCTCTAAGTAAATTTTTTTTTTTTTTTTTGAGATGGAGTCTCACTCAGCCACCCAGGTTGGAGTGTACTGGCACGATCTCGGCTCACTGCAACCACCGTCTCCTGGGTTCAAGCGAAACACCTGTCTCAGCCTCCCAAGGAGCTGGGATTACAGGCGTACACCTCCACGGCCGGCTAATTTTTGTATTTTAGTAGAGACGGGGTTTCACCATGTTGGCCAGGCTGGTCTTGAACTCCTGCTCTCAGGTGATCTGTCTACCTCGGCCTTCCAAAGTGCTGGGATAACACGTATGAGCCACTGTACCCAGCCCAAGTAAATTTAAAAGAGAAACCTCCCATAAATTGAACAGAAATTTTACTATGGAAATGTAGAACTTCTATTTAGAAAGCAATATAAATGAGAACAATAAGTTCACCAGAAGGGCTCAATATTGCAGAGAAGGAGGAGGAGGAGGAAGAGACAGTGGAAATAACCTATAAATGAAACTATTATCAGAGGGAAAAAAACAGAAACCTGGAAGACTACAAGAAACAAGCCAACAGGGCACTACGATCAAAAGGGATGCCTTAACTCACCTGGAATTCCTTTCAAACACTGGGGAAAACACTTCGAAGAAATTATCCTTTGCTTCACTTTTAGAAGGAACTGAGTTATCAAAAGTAGGATCTACACTGTTAAATGCTCGTCTTTTCACTGGATCAGATAACATTTCATAAGCTGAGAAAAAAATTGTTAAGATCATATCACCATAACTTTACCTATTTTTTTCTTCAAGAAAACAAATATTTCCCTCCTTAAAACATAAAAGTCATTAATTTTCATATTTGAAAATTTTGTTTGCAGGTTGGGGAGGATTTAATTTAGGTAACAACAGCTTTAGCACTACTGGATATAACTGGACTTAACTCTTTCTTTAATTATTTTTCTAGTAGACAAGTGACAAAACAATATCACCCACCCTTCAAGAGAACAGATGACTCTGGGGAAAAAGAAATAGCTAGTAAGTTAACTGTTAGATCCCAAGGTTGTAAAAGATCGAAGGATCTTAGGCTTCTGGAGCACTGTGTAAGAGAGCTGGCAAAGAGTAAATTTGAACGGTGTGCATACAACTGTTTAAAAATTAGCATCAAAATGTAAAATCACATTTAAGGAAACATTTGGAAATGGTGGCAACCTATATTAATTTGCTTAGTGATGTGTATGTAAATAGCAATAAGTAACTGTAGGGTCTGTACTAGGATATAATCAACTTCTTGATTTAAACTAGGCTAGCAAAACATCTGAGGAACAGTTTAGTCCCATAAAGCATCTGAAACAAACAAAAAAAAAATCTTAGTATTCTCATCATTAAATAGAACACTTACATGAATTAACTGTAGGATGAGCTTCTGATAAGAATCACCTGGGGATCCTGTTAAAATGCAGATTTTAATCAGTAGGTTTGGGGCAGGGCCTGAGACTGCATTTCTAATAAGCTGCCAGGTGTTGCTGATGCTGCTGGCTGGGGAAACCTCACTTTGTGTAGTGAGGCTCTGGGGTGATGATTAGAAATAACTTGATATAACTGAAATGTTTTAAAATGTCAAAGGATAGTTGAATGAACTACAGTATGCATAAGAAACCCAATCCCAGCAATTAATAAATAACAATTACTATTAGAAATTCCTGACTCTAAAGCATTTTCTTACCTTTAGTTATGCAAGTGAAGTAGTCATTATCTCCTTCTTTTATTGGTTCACCAGCTGCTTTCCGTTTGTCTGGGTGATGTTTTAAAACCATTGCTTTATCTACAAAAATCAGTCGGATTGAGATAATTTGTCACTTTAAGCACCAAAACTAAAGATGAGCTACATGTAGACCATTTCTAAAATCATAAGGCTAATATTAGAATCTTTTCTCCCACAGTAAAATATATGATTATTCAATGTGAAAATTATAAACTGATTTATTATTATTTTCTGAGATGGAGTTTTGCTCTTGTTGCCCAGGTTGGAGTGTAATGGCGCGATCTCAGCTCACTGCAACCTCCGCCTCCCGGGTTCAAGTGATTCTCCTGCCTCAGCCTCCCGAGTAGCTGGGGTTACGGGTGCCCCCCCCCCTGCCCGGTTATTTTTTGTATTTTTAGTAGTGATGGGGTTTCATTATGTTGGCCAGGCTGGTCTTGAACTCCTGACCTCAGGTGATCCAACCACCTCAGCCTCCGAAAGTGCTGGGATTACAGGTGTCAGAAACTGCACCTGGCTTGAAATAATTATTTTAAGAACTAGCCAAAGTGCCCCTAGCCAACGACAATGACTGTTAACATTTTGGTGTATTTCTGCATAGATATTTTTGTTTTCTTAAGCATATGCTTTTAAAAATTCAGGTGTAGGCTGGGCATGGTGGCTCATGCTTGTAATCCCAGCACTTTGGGAGGCCGAGCTGGGAGGATCACTTGAGGTCAGGAGTTCAAGATCAGCCTGGCCAATATGGCAAAACCTGGTTTCTACTAAAAATACAAAAACTAGATGGGTGTGGTGGTGCATGCCTGTGGTCCCAGCTACTTCGATGGCTCAGACATAAGAATCGCTTGAACCCACGAGGTGGAGGTTGTAGTGAGCTGAGATGGCGCCACTGCATTCCAACCTGGGTGAGTGAGACTCTGTCTCAAAAAGAAGAAGAAGAAGAAAAAAATTCAGGTGTAATCGTATGTACTAATTTATATTCTGCTTTTTTCAATTTCACATTATAGCATTTGCATTTTCCATGGTTTTTTCCTTGCAAACTCTTCAAATTTTTCTTTCAAATGACTGCTTAATACAGTGTTACAAGTAGATTTGTTGTAATTTAGGCATTTCTCTACTGTTGGACACTTGGGCCATTTCCAATTTTGCATTATTATAAATAATGCCAATTTGAATAATTTTAAATGTAAGTATTTTTCCTTATTTAGGATTCTTTCTTAGGATATAATCACAGAAGTGAACTTTGTGAATGGAAATGGAACAAGTTATTTTCCAAAAGGCATACTATTTCATACTCCTATGTGAATATTCTTTCACCACAGCCTCAGCCACAGTAGGTATAATTATTTAAAATTTGTGATTATCACTGGTGGTCAACAATTTTTTTGTTTTTCATTCTTTAACGGGAAAAAGGAGGGGCTGTCTCAGTTTTTCTTCTGACTCTGTGTGTCACTTTACGATAAATAATGGCTAGCTGTTAACATCTACGGAGTAGCTGACATGTGCAAGGCCTGTTTACCAGTTAATCTTCTCCATGATCCTATGAAGAAAGTACTATTACTGTCTCCACTTTACAGATGAGGAAAACGAGGCACAGAGATGTTACGTAGCCACTACCACTGCAACTTGCTCAAATTTCCGGCCAAGTCGGGCTCTAATCCAGACGGCCTGACTCCTCAGCCTATGTTTGAATGCTGCCTCCTAATTCACTATGTTTATTGCTAATTTTTTCCCAACTGTTTTGTTAACACTTATGTTTTAAAAAAAATTTAGTCATTTTTATTTACATTTGCTGATTATTTCTTTTATAATTTCTTCTAGTACTTATAATAGTTCTAGTTTCATTAATATTTCCTACAGTTAGATTGAAAAAATTTTTAAATTTTTGGAATTTTAATATGGCCAAGAAAGTATCTAAACTTGTCATTTTTCAAAATCTTACTGTGATTTAATAATCCTTCCCTATTCCACTGATTTGTGATACTATCTTTATAATAGTAAATTTTACAAGGGCTTGTTTTGGTTACTTATTGTTGCCCTGCGGTTATCTTTATAATGACCACAGCTTTCTTATATATTTGATGGTAACTTACAAAAACTGTAATTTTTGCTTATTTTTCTTGCATCTAGTCCCTTAACTCTCTTTTGCTTTTCTAGGCAGATCCTATATTATCTACAAATGTATTTATTTTCTTTCCAACAGTTGTCTCTTATTTAATAACTTAACTCACTAACCCAAACTCCCAAAATCGCATAAAAAATAAAATGCAGGCTGCTTCACCCCTAGATTTTAGGTAACAGCATTAATGCCACATAGCTAAAAGTCTGCTAGCTGTGGGCCTGAAACAGTTATCAAAGTAGGGAATTAACTACATTTCTTTTCAAAATTCTTATCAAAAAGGAATGGGTGTTAAATTGTGGTATGTGTTTTCACTACCTACTTAGTTAGAAATCACATAGATTTAATATTATCTGAGGTATAATTTTGCTATATTAATATACTTCCTAAGTTGGATACCTGAGAGAAACTGTGTTCATGAACACTATTATTCTTTTAGTATACTGTTAAATTGCATTTGTTATTTTATTTTATTTTGAGACAGGGTCTCACTCTGTTGCCCAGGCTAGAGCACAGTGCCACGATCTTGGCTCACTGCAGCCTTAACCTCCTGGGCTCAGGTGATCCTTCCACCTCAGCCTCCCAAGTGGCTGGGATTACAGGTGCGCTCCACCATGCCTTGCTAACTTTTTTTATTTTTTGTAGGGAAGGGGTTTCGTCATGTTGGCCAGGCTGGTCTTGAACTCCTGGGCTCAAGCGATCCTCCCACCATGGCCTCCCAAAGTGCTAGAATTACAGGCCTGTGCCACCACACCTGGCCACTATTTTTTCATAATACAAGTATCTGTACACACTGACGGGGTACATGTGATATTTTGTTCATAATACAGGAACAAAATCCATTTTTTTTTTTTTTTTTGAGATTGAGTCTCATTCTGTTGGCCAGGCTGGAGCACAATGGTGCAATCTCGGCTCACTGCAACCTCCGCCTCCTGGGTTCAAACGA